ATTAAGCTGTGAAAACATGGAACTTGTAACTTATAGACAAGAAGGGATCAGGCCTAAATTACTTTTTTCCTCCACAAGCTTTCCTATTCTCCTTGAAGTGCCACTCTAATTCAGAGAGAAATACAAAGAAAAATACAGAAATTAACAGAGAAATACAGTATTTAGTCTTTATAAATAAAGCGGAGTTTAAATACATTTTTCCGCACTTTCAGATGTTTGATTCAGTACTTATAAAAAGCACTTATAACATGCCAAATGACACACAAGCATCCAGAGGACAGAAAGCTGCTGTAAATCTACTGTTGCCACTCAGGTAAGTGGCTTAATGGCCAAAGGAAAAGTGAAGGTTTGTCACACAGGTGACTTGGCTCAACACTGCTCACGTGGAATATTTGCCTCTCTATTACACTGAGCTGAGACACGCAGTCAGAGTGTCTCCAAAAATATCTTTATGGCTTTGTTTGCTTTCTTCTTCGTCTCTAAAAGTGTAACCATATGCTAAGTTTAGTGGGTGTTTTTAGTTGTTTCCTAGTTTGCAGTTTATTTAAATTTAAAAAAAGTAGATTTGATTTCCAACCAGTAACAGTCAGAAGTAATTCTAGTCAAGTCAGCATAAGCCAGGTACAAATTAGCATGAAAACTGTAAGCAACAGCCTCAGGTACAGCAGTTTCAAGATCATATGGTACATATATCAAAAGTACTGTGAACTTTTTAGATTGCCGTGGGACTTTGAATACTATTACCAGAAAATAACACTTCTTTTAGAAAACAGACAATTCTACTTTTAACTTGATTTTATGCCTGTTCACAGAAAACTCACCTTTTTTATAGAGAAGTGCTGTGAAACACGCAATAGCTTAACAATGTTTTTCACATTAGACCTCCCAAAGTCAAAATTCATATTCCTGAAATTTTTCATCTCGCTATTTTCTGTCTCAAAATGCTCTTCAAAACTTCAGTGTGCATATGGAAATTACTATGTTGATAAAGAAAATTTAAAAAAAAATTTAAAAAAAAACCAAACCAAAACAAAACAAAAACAAACACAACCCCCCCCCCAACCCACACCTCTCAAAAGCTGGGTTTGTAAATTTTTTTTAAACCATAAGTCCATAAGTGCAGTGAGCAGTATAATTCAAAGCCTCTGTGAACACCCGATGTGCATTAGTTACATATTTTATATACTATATCACTACCTCCTAATGCCCCATCTCTCAGCTTTTTTCTCCATTAGTGCCCAAAGATGCTGCTTTTTTCCTGCCTGACATGTTCAGAAACTGAAAACACAACCAATGGCTTACTGGCCAGGAATTAAGATCTTACCCCGCCCTCCTGATCCAGCCTGAATACGAAGGTTAATGACTTGATGAGCGCTCGCAGACAGCTCACTGCAGTGCCACAACAAACCTTTGTAGGAATTGCCACGAGCCAGCAACCCGTGTCCTGACCCTTACAAAAAGCACCAGCTCTGCATGGGACGGTGCACAATGAGCCTGGAAAAGAAGCAACCAACGAACCCAAAGGCCATCTGAGCTTACAGGGACGACATTCCATTCCTCTCCTTTGCTCAGAATGTCTCTGAGATGCCACAGGACCTGCCTTGGCCTTGGCTGCTGCCCAGTTGCCCTCGTGGTCACCTCTGGAAGTGGGGTGGCCCAGCACAGCTGGCTCTCGTGCCTCTGGACTGCCTCCACCAAGCAGTGCAGCCTGCCCTTCCATTCACACAAATTAATTCAGAGTGCACTGCTTCCAGAATAACCAGGAGGGATGCACAAGTAGAGACTGAGAGCTCTCCTGGCATCCAGTTCAAATTGCAGCTTCTTGCAAGGAACTATTTTTAAGTTTTATATCAATATGCTCGAGAAAGGTTCCTTCTGCTGCCTACAAATGTGCAAACTCCCCCTTCCAAGAAGCACAGCTCAGGACAGCAAGACCCAGCCCTGCACTTTCAGCCTAATTAAGGCCCCATATTTCGCTACTAAAACATTGCATAAAATACAACTCCCCTGCAGAGCATTTCCTGGTGATCCCCACCTGAGCATCACTGAGGACCCCACTACCTTCAGGAGTCCTGTGTGTTCTTCACAAGATTACAGGTAGCAAGAGCCACCCGTGACACAACCCACACTGAGGCAGCCTGGCTGCTTCTGGAAGATTACCACTCTTGTTGCTGCAATGGGCACAGAACTGCTACAGGAGACTGAGGAAAAAAGGGAAAAGAGAGATGTAGAAAGTGTATATATGCTGCTCGTGACCTGACCGGTGAGGTGAAACCATTGTACACTGGGTTATCAGGAGTTCCTGTATGAAGGCATTGTTCAGGCTTAAGAGGTTTGTGAGAAAAAAAAACAAGCAACAGCAGTACACAATGGATGCAGATAAGCAACCTCTGAACAAAGCCCTGGGCGACTGCAAGACAACGGGAAAACTTATTAGCTGCAAGCATCCTATATCCTGTCTCCAATAAAGCAACACAGATGTTCTGCTAATGCAGGGCGTGAAAAGACAAGAGAGCACTAAGCAGCTATTGAGCCCTCCACGGGAGGGAGGCTCAGTGTTCAACAGCTGTTGGGCACAAAGACGTCCACAGGATGGGCATGAAAAGCTTCTTAGCAGGTCTGAGAATGTAACATCTCTCTTGCCAAAGGTAAGGGAGGCCACTGGTATTGCCACGAGCCCCTCAACGCCACTGCAAACAGGGCTTTGCAAGCCCAGCTCTGGCCCAAGAACAGAACAACCATTGTTTGGGAGTTTAGTCACCAGGGTGGTTCTCTCCACTGGGAAACGCGTGGTGTACCCAAACACACGCACAGACCACGGCTCTCTGTGGCACAGTGGAAACAGGGCTCTGTCCAGGGAGAGCTACTGGATCCATGGGTCTGGAGGCAGGAAGTGCTCCAAGACCCACTTCTTGTCTGAGAAGTGGGGTGCAGAAACAGCCCCATCATTAACCCTTGGCCAAGTGCTCTGCACAGTCAGACGACTCTTGCTGTACTTCCCAAAGACAGAGTTGTTGGCCCTCCAGGAGGCTTTCCTAAACCCAAAAAATCTGTTCTCTAAAAAATTCAGGCCACTTAACTAGCATCTGCTACTGTGTCAAGAGGAAACTGCAACAAGAACATTAACAGCCAATTACATGGGAAATGCTCTGAGCTGTAGAAGATCACACTCTGACTTACTTTTTTTTTTTCTTTTCTTTCTTAATGTGGTGTTCCCCATCCCATTCCCCATTGCTGAAGTGGGGAAAGTGTTTGCCCATACCAGTGGGTGAGATTTGAAGCCCAGCTGCCCACGGACTTGTCCTGCACATCTCCCAGCCCCAGCCGTGCAGAGAGGGGCTGGCATAGAGAGCCTGGGTGAGCCGCAGACATTGCACTGCCAACAGCACACGTGGGGAAGCGTCACACACGGGGTGACAGCAGAATACAGCACAGCTCAGAGCCCAGCCAAGCTGGGTGCCTGCACAGGGGACACCTCCCTGAGACACTGCAGGCAAGTTCTGCTAGTGGCACAAAACCACCCTACACAGCATGACAGCCCTCCTTTCTGTTCACAAATAAATGCTATAAAATGTGATCATAATAATCACTTCATTAAAAGTATCTGCACTGCCACCGGCTACAATTCAAAAGTTTCAAGGGCATAAAGAACAAGACTTTTTTTTCCCCTTCAATAAAAAAATGTTTGTCTCTTGCTATCAGCAAACCAGCAATGTAAATGAACATTTGAAAGTCACTGTATAACTAAGAGTCATTGCATATAATCAGATTAAAAAGAGAAAACCGAATGCAAACAGAAAACTTGAGCTTCTTGGAAAAAAACAAGTGAAAATATGAAGAAGCCACTAAGGAATAAAATGGGTAAACCAGTGTCAGACCAGATCCAGCCCCAGCCTGAACCTGTGCATACATAATTCCACCAGCTCTGTTACTCATTATGCTCATAAAAATAAACCCAAATCTTTTCAAGCAACAGTTGAAGTTCAAGGGAAAACTTTCAAGCTTGTAAAATTTACCAGACTCTTTCTAGAAATTTAAACAGGTTAATTACTCTGATCAAAACATTAAACACAATGTCAAGAGTTCTCAAACACTATCAGTTATCCATATGGTTTTTACTGTCCTCCTAAAACCACATTTGAGGAGTCATACTTCCGGGAAAAAAAGAAAAAAAAGTGGATATTCTTTTTCCAAGAAACACTGTGAAGTGAGCCTGGAAAGAGATGCCCCTCCTGTGAGCCCCCCATCCCACACCCCGACTGACAGTCCAGGTCTTTGGTAACGTTCAGAAGTCACCCCTGGAGCTCGGGAAGTGACAAGCAATCTAGAGCTATTTACTGCCTCCCGAACAGACATTGCAAGGATGAGCACCAGCCACAAGGCGCAGCCACAGCTCCAACAGGCTTGGCAGAGCCATCGCGTTTGCATGTCCCTCGCAGAAAGCATTTTCCCGACGCCCATTTCTGGGAATGTTGTTCTCCAAATATTTTGGCTGTTCCTCATCTACCGGATAGCGTTAAGAGTGCATCTGCAACTCTGTCTCCAGGAAAGACATGTAAAGCTGATTCATTATCTTAAAACGCTGCTTTCATTCCTGCTCATTAAAAGCACATTTCAGATCCCTGCACCGAATGCATGGCTGATGTGCTCTGGCCACTCAAGCACTGGGTTTCAGTTCTCTTCTTATTTAGTTTCATTTGTTGCCCACAACCTTGCATTCTCCACTTCGGGGACAGCTATATCAGACCTGAGCTACCATCGGAAAATGCCCTGGATAGAATCCTGTCTCTCCTTGCAATGCCTGGCAATCCAGGCAGTCGCACCCGATGTCAGACTCAGCCTAGATTTCGGGAGCTGCATCCCACACCGCAGCGTCCTCCCTGCAGAAACAAAGCAATAAACAGTTGTTCTGCACATCCCACATCCCAGCATACTGAGCCACTTGGAAGAGAAGGAAAAGCAAGTAAGCTTAGGTAATGCACGCGTTAGACAGTCCTCACCTTTAGGGAGTCAAAGCAGGCAATAACTCGACCATTTTCCACATGGCAACTCCGTGACGGATGGGCGAACTTGCACTCTGCATCAGACCGAGAACAAGTACCTCTCTGAAACTCTCGACACACTTCTAACGTCAGCCATTTTGTATCACGGACCAGGGAAACGTTTACAGCCATATTAAAAAACAAAAATTAAAATGCAAGCAATTGCACCCTTCCTCAGGGTAATATTCGCTGCTGATCTTTTTTGTTTCTTCTTTTTTTTTTAAAAAAAGGGTAAAAAAGTGAATTCAAGTTAAACGTGAAGAAATAACTAACTTGTTGCTTTGGTAGAACTCCTATTCATCAGCACTTAGGTTTTCATTTAAGTCAAATCGTGTTTCTTTAAACAAGAATTAAACATAAAGCCAATCATAAAATAGAAATCTTATCAGAACAACTGAAAATCAAATTAGAGGCCAGCTCCTAAAAGTGCAATTGTAGAAGTTAAAATACAAGTGTTATATTTTGTGCCACTGCCAAAGTTACTTGCAAATAACTGGCAGACTTTCAAAAGAATTCTGTGCTCTCCAGTTAATGGTTTCAATTATTCTTGCAAAAAGCATATGCTGCTGGCAGCACTTCAGTTTGTGGAATGGTCTCGGTCCTTAGGGAGAAAACTTCGGGTTTTTTTTTTTCCTTCTATTTCTTGCTTCTAAAAATTACAGTTCGCGAGCATGAAAACAGGCAAAAGGATGTCTGATTTTTTTTCCTCTCTTTCCTTCTTTTCTTTTAAATATTTGCTACATAGTCAGGGGAAGGAAAAAAAATAAAATGGCTGAGCAAACTGCGTGTAAATGGGGAGAAAAAAAAAAAAAAGGGCAAGGCTGGAGGAGCCGCCGTCAGGGCACGGACTGCAAGCAACGCCGAATTAAACAGAGAGGGGGGGCGAGGGGCAGAGAGAGGCAGCCCTAGACAGAAATCCAAGCAGCGGTGGCTTCAGGAAAGGCACTTTTCAGCAACCTGCAGGAAAAAGAGAAATAGAATCAGCCAGGAGCCGGCGGCGGCCCCGCTGGGCGGGCGCGGGGCGGCGCCGGCGGCCATTGCGGGCACGGGGGCACTGCCCGCGCCCGGCGGCGCATGGCAGGCGCCGCCGTCCAATGGCGCTTGCCGTTACAGCGGCATGCGCGGGCAGCCGACCAATCAAAGAGACCGTTTCATAGCGGCCGCGGTCAGTGCCCGCCGCAGCCCCGGGACCCCCCGGGACCGGACAGGGACAGGACCGGGCCGGGGACAGGGACACCCAGCCCAGCTTTTTGCCTCCCCCGCAGGGCCAGCGCCGTGGGCTGCAACCCCCAAGCCCTCCCAAACTAGGGAGGAATATTTTTTTCCTTAGTATTTTTATTTTTTTAATTTTTAACATTAACTAGCCCACCCCCCTTCTACAGGAACCGTTCGGGCAGGAAGAGCAGCTTTCTTGTATACGAAGGTCCAGCTCAGCCCTACACCCCACCCCTCCCGCACTCCGAGGTGTTCCACTGAACGCATCCCCAGCACAGAGGTGCTCCTGCGATGGCACATGAAGGCAAACGACTGGTTCGGAGTCGCTCCTCTATGGATTCAGAGCCTACAAAACTATGAGCAAACCCGACAGGGAAACTTAAGCCACACACGGAAAAAATTAACTCATTGCTCACAGCTGTAGTTTTCCACCAGACCAAAGGCAACTCGAATTACTCTGACTCCAGCAACTCGTGTTATACAACAAACAACTTTTAATGCATTCCTGTTCAAGGCTTCCTTGGCATCCACTAAAATGTTAAGCTGTCCCTAGAGTCTCCCATTCTAATATTAGTTGTGCCACTGCTGCCTGATTGGATTGGGCTGTTTCCAAGCTCCCAAAATCCAGCCCTTTATCTTCCTAAAATACGGCCGGCCAGTTTTGCAAACATTTGACAGGCGCGGGATGTTGCTCGTGTGACTGCTATTAAGACTTCAAGCTTTAGCAGGAGAAGAGCCTTCAACTACAAGAAAAGGAAGCTTAAATTCCTCTTTTATTATTGGTGTGTTATTGCAATTACACTGATCAGTAACTGAAACCTACTGGAGCTGGAAACAATGGAAACAATGCTACCAAGGAAGAAGTGTGGGAAGAGGCTGTCATCAGCAGCAGGGGGTGGGGCACAGAGGCTGTTTGATTCACAGATCGAATTATTTCAATTTAGAAAAAACAATGCTCGTTAAACCTATACTGCAAGTATTTTCTAGGCTTAATTAAGCTCATTACAAGAACTACCCACATCCTTCCAATCCAGCTTGCAGCATCAGCACAGAGCTTGGTCTGACACATGCTTCTGGAAGGACCTTTGGATTTTTGCACATCAGGTGGGGAACGGGGACTACAAACGTCACATTTGCTAAGTGTGTTTTAAACTTCAAAGAGGGGGGAAAAAAGCACAACTAGCCATGCTTGTATCTTTTTGGTTTCATACTGAAGAGATGCTCTATATCAATTCCAATTTTGCAAGTGGGGCAAATTTATATAGGAATCCCATTTGCTGATGTGTGGGCTCCCTGTTCAAATGAGCTCAGCAAGCAGGAAAAGATGTGCAGAAACGTTCTGCAGGGAGCTAGGGACTGGCTGGGTGCAGCTCTTAGAAACGAGCTAGAACAGGTCAGATATGGGTGGGGATTACAAAGAATGCTCTCAGAAGCTGTTCGGAGCAGACTGAAATACAACCATCTTGTGGATTAAGTGCCTATTCCACATCTTCAGATTCCCAGGGAAGTGAGGGTCTATTAATGCTGGGGATGGAATATGACAGGTCTGACCTTACACACAGTTACACCAAGATGTACAAACAGTGTAGTAACATCTGCCACTTCCCAGACCTTCTACCTCAAGAAATCCCAAAGAATGCAACAAACCAAATGTTGATCTTGCTCACAGCCATGCAGCTCAGGAGCACACATGTGCCCACAGGTAAATACCTGCACTAAGCTGCTCAGTCCTCAAAACGAAGGGAATCATGTTAATGAAAGGTAAATCAAATAAATCCTACAAAACACAAACTACCAATATCAAGGCATTCAGACACATGTAACATGGTTGATATTTTTCTTTTACAACTCTTGGTGGGAGAAACAAACAGAAAACTGAAGAAATACTTGCCAATGTCCTCCTGCTGATGGAAACTGTCCCTGCCCCACACCCTGCACCCCACACTCGTCTGTTCCATGTGCAAGACTGAGACACAAGGAATTTGCTGTACTATGGAAACAACCCGCCTCCCTGCAGAAGGGCAGACTCCTATCTCAGATCCTGGGACTAGGGCTCCTGTACCGGAGGGAATCAAATTAATGAACACATTTTTCATACTGTGGGCCTCAATTCCGCAGCCTGCATGCCACCCAGCAGAGCACAACAGCAGCACACACTGCCCCATCACTTGTTTGCTCTGCACTCAGGAGAGCAGTCAAGCACATGCTTAACTGTAGGCATGCCAACAGTCTTTCTGGAAAGAAAACCTGAAGCATACTTAAGTGCTTTGCTGAATCAGGGCCTAAATAAATGAATCTGCTTCATGCGTTTATCAGGGCTGGGAGGCCGGCAAGCACGGGCAGCAGTCATTGTGTTTCGGCTTACGTGATCGCAGCCCAGAGGAGCACGAGTTAGGCTTTTCTGCAAGTCAACAAATACAGTTCTGTCAATGTTTGGATTGCTGCAAATCCCTCTCCATGTGGCCACGGGGAAAGCTGAAAACCTGTGTATGCAGGGCTGACATCACACTGCTGCAGCGAGGCTCCCACGCACGGCACCGAAGGACAGCACACCTCAGACAGGAACCCGCTGCTGACAATACAGAGCTCCAGCTCTCCAGGTTTCAACTCCTGGCAGCAAACAACTGCTTTCACCATAATGCATCCTTACAATTCCCTTGTATTACCCTTTTTTGGGCAGGGAAGGGGGCAGGTAATATGTGTGTGGGGGTGACTGGCATTTTATTCACTTTGTTCTCCCATATAGTTCAAATGGGAGGAACATACACACATAAAAAAAAAAAAAAAAGCATCCATGCCAAAACCAACATACAAGGATTAAAAAGCAGTTCCAGAAATCAGGGGCTTCATTACTGTGCAGGAAATACAACAAAGGGTAGGTGCCGCCTTTTGAACCCTTCCCAGCAAGCCAGATCCGTCTGGCAGAGCTCAGCTCCTCCACTACCAGATGGGCCAATCTCATTTCAACGGCAGCGGCATCAAAGCTGGAGAAAGCAGTGGAGTAGAGAGAAAAGCCCGTGGCCTTTATCCCTCTAACGAAACTATAATATCCCTGAAGCCCCTGCTCCAAGGCTACTTGCTGGGCCAGGCTCTAATTGCCTGAGCTGCAGGAGGACGGGGCTTGCTCCAGATGTCAGACCCAGCCTTACAGCTACCGAAGTGCAGGGGAACAAGGGCAGTCTGAGGAGCAAAGGTCACGCCAGGGCTCGCCTCTGGTGGGACTGAGATGCCCTCACCGCTTGAGGTAACATGAGGACGAGCGTATTCACTTGACGCTTGAATTCCTCCTGCTTGCCACGAAACTGATCCCCTTCCACTGACAGCCTCTGTGGATGTCAACTTGTGAGGACACTTCCTGACAGCCGAGTTCAGAAATGGTAATTTATGTGACAGGGTGGATTTGAGCAGCTCCCAAGTGTAAATGATGCTATTTAAAAGAGATTTTTTTTTCTTTTTTTTTTTTTTAAGAAGAAAAAATGACTCAGTAGAAGTGCCAAGGTGGGTTCCTTATTTACTGTTTCTCAAAGATTTCTGGGTCATGACTGCTCAGTTGAGAAGCACAAGTGCTGTTGCCCTAACTGACAGTGCAGTGAGTGAGAACAGCAGCTATTCCCTTCTCCTGAAGTGGAATAGGGATAGTGCAGAGACACTGGAGTTTTCCCAAAGTCAAGCTCCAGCTGTGCCCTTTCTTTATCATATGTGATGCTGTCCATGCTCCTTTTCAACTCAAACCACCAGCATGTGAGAGATGAACAGACTGCTCTGAGACTGAGCTCAGCCCTACACTGCCAGGCTGCAGTGTGCTTTATCCAGTTTTGTAAGTTACAATCAATGAAAGCTCAGACCCAGCCAGCCTGGATGGATGGACACCCTGGAGGCACAGCAGCAGAGAAACTGTGCTTGCAAAATTAAGACCTCAAATCTTTCACCAATTCCACTACAACTTACATCCCACACCTATTAATGTTTACTGAGTGTCTAGATATTGTCAGAGCCAAAGGTTTTTTGTTTCTGGACTTTCCTCAAAGCACTAAATTCAGCTGGCAGCACAAATGACACACTCATCAGTCCTTCCACCTTTGAGATGATTCTGTAACCTTGACTTTTTATTGCATTTTAATGGGTATGGAAGAGCTTGGTGTGCCCACCACCCTGTCCTTGATAAACCAGAATGGGAAACTCCTCACCCAAACAGCAGTGAGATGTTTCCACTATCGAACACTTTTCCAAATAAACACAGTGTTCCTGGAAACACTGCATGGCAAAGAGAAATGGGAGCAACGAAAATAATCCATGTTTTCTTCTGAAAGAGAAACAAAATTCTGTAGGAGAATACCACCACCCATCCAATAGCATTTTCACGTTCCTATGGAAAATCAAGTCTGAGCATCTTTCCCAGTCCTTCCTTTCTCCTCTACTTTCACACCAGTAGTAAAGAACACATGAAACTACACTCTAGCTTATCAAACAAACCAAAAAGGTATAGTCAAGGGCAAGATTTTACTGGGAGCGCTCTACTGCTGCATTCATTGGCAGCAATGCATGAGATATTCTACACTTGTGGGCAGCTTTTGGAGTCAGTGAGGAGGAGGAAAAAAATGTTAAAAAAGTAATCTTCATTTAGGACCCAGCAAGCCAGGAACACAATGACATTAGTTGAGTTGGCTGACATTACAGACCTTCACTTTGGGCCTCAGAAAAGCCCATGGCGAGTTAGATGCTGTCACGATTATATCACAAAA